AGCTGCATCTCTGCAGCCCCCGGCCCTTATGGAACCCGCGGGAGGCAGAAGTCCCCAAACAAACCCGGACCAGCACCGATTTCCATCCCTGTCTTGCAGACAACCAAAGACCGGGTGTTCCCACAGCCGGTCTCCGGCTGGCTTCTGGGCATCTTGGCTGCCCAAATAAGAGTTCGCTGTGCTCCTGATAAGCCTCAGTAACTTTCTGAGCGGGGTTAAGTGACTCGCACGGCAGTTCGGCCGTTTCACCCGGGCAGGGGAATTCTTGTGTCTGCAGCTTCGGTATCTAGCTGCCGAGCTGTGTTTAGTCTATGGCTATAAAGTAGCCTTGTTTCTATTCTGAGAATATTTGTCTAATCAGGGGTCCAAGGAATTATTTTGCTCAGTAGAAAGCTATGTTTATTTGGACAAGTCTATACGCCAGGATGGGTGCCTTGGAAAAGCCCGATGAAGGCTGTGTGTCGCTGGCGTGTCTCAGGGCATGGTGCGACAAACGTCTCATTTACCGCAGAAGGAAGAGGAAGGCTTTACGCTCACGGCTGCTCGCCAGCGCTGAAGTGAGGCCCCCGTGCATCCCGAGGGCCGCTTGCTGCAAAGCATCACTCTTCCCCGGGCGCTGTGGACGCTCATCTGTGTGAGGGAGAGGACCGGCGCGGGCCAAGGGGGCAAAACCCCGGCGTGGGATGCCCCGCTGCTCATTAGCTTCTCCCAATAACAACTCTTTATCCAAGAGGTGCTGGGCAACTTGGATGGTATTTTCACGTAGCTGCTATTTTCAGAACCTCATTTGCTTTTGTTAAATCACAGATGACCCCAACACTCTGGCTGCTACTTTAGGAAGCTGATGAAATACTGAGCTGAAGGACACTTGAAGGGTCAAGGCCCATCACCTGGGACAGGTAAACGATTTACCAGCCTCCCCAAGACCTTTTGGTTCACTTCAACCTCCTCATCCCTGAGGGTGTGGGGAAACCGTAATGTTAAATGCAGGCTCTTAGGACATTTTTCCCAGCCGTCTTTTTCACCTATGGGATCATGGCATTTTTTTGAACCTAATAAAGCATTCAGCACTTTCTGGTGATTATTCCCATTTTCCTGTTTAAACGCTTTCCCCGGGCTGCCTTCAGCTTGGGGAGCTTCGTCCCGCGAACAAACCGAGAGCACCCGCGCCTCGGTGGACTTTGCCCTGTTTGCACATGCAAACACAGCCGAGTTGTGACTGCCCGCAACTGAGCAACCACTAATTTTTAGACCTGAGATAAATCCTTGTTATCTGCTGAGATAAGGCCCGCTACAGCATCCTCCTCGTTTTGGAAGGCACCGGTTTCCGCATTGGGAAATTGCCTTTGGCCGTTGTGTGAAACGGCAGCGCAGCAGCAGCGATGTCCGCGGGCAGCTGCCTGCACACACACACACGGGTTTCGGGGCGAGCCCAAGACAGGCAGTGGCTCTCGCTGTCACCGCCCTGTGCCACCCACTGCCTTCATGGCTTTGGTGGCGGTGGCTTGAGCACAGGTAATGGCTTTTTCTCTGCAAAAGGCCACTTCTCCCTCCCCAGGGCCCTCCCCAACCAGGCGACCCCCCTGTGATTTCAGCATCGCTGCCCTGGGAACATCCCTCTGGCTGTCAGCAATTCCGGCTGGTTTGAGGTTTTGCCTCGAATTAGGAATTAGGAATACCTAATTCCCATTTCTCATTGCCCAGGCTCATTGCATTGGCATCAACAACTCAATAATTTCTTCTCTTCGCATTCCTCGCAGCCCGATTGGATTTTGTCCTGGACATCATCTTTGGTGCCATCTCTGTCCCCCGCCGCTTGCCTTGTAGCTCAGTGCCCCCATAACAGCCTCAGCAGCTCCCCATCCCCTAATCCCCCTGGAAAAGGAGCTGCTCGGGGCAGTGGGGCTGTATGTCCATCCTGACCAACATCCGCCCAGAACAAAGCCCCTCCATGAGCTGACGTCCCCCACCCAGATGCTCCAAGTTTCTCATACGCTTCGTTCTGCGGCACAAAGTCTTGCAGAAGATGGCACGGCTCCGCTCCTGCGGCACAGCGGGGATGAAGCTGTGGCCTCAGGGTTACCGCAGGGTCCGTGATGAGGCCTGTCCTGCTGCGGAGGGCAAGCAGAGGGCACTGGCCATGCCAGGAGAACATGGGATGAGCACCCGGCATTCCCACCTCCCACCCCAGCCCTGCCTCTCCTCGAGGTCAAGTGCCTCCGAAGCACACGGGGACGGTGTTTGCGGAGTGACTCACGCTAACCTGGCGGGCCGGCAATAAATTCTCCTACGGCAATAACTGCATTTCCGTCGCTCACGCAGGGCTATTTCCGTTTTCTCCAGGGAGTCACCCCAAGTCCCCATTTCTCTGCCCCGGCACGCGCCGGTGCCCCTGTCCCCCGCAGGGATGTCCGCAGGCAGGTCGGAGGTGCTTGTTCAGATTCCCGCACCGCGTGTCCCACAGCAGCTCCAGCTCCTTGCCCCGCCAGATGGGCTCGGCTGATTCACACCGGGCAGGTTAGAGGCCCAAAACCGGCGTGGTTACGTGGGCTGGATGCTCCCTGGCCTCCCCAGCC